TCTGGGCATGAAAGGGCAACCAAGGATGGGACGGACCGGAAGTGGCCTGGAGGAGACCAGCAGGTGACCTGGGAGGGAGACGCTGTGAGATGAGGTGGGGGGCATGGGGATCCTCTTGGATCCTCTTGGAGCGGGATCAACCCAAGATCCAGGGACCGTGGCGACTGAGAGTTTGCCTGGCCTCCTGGGCTCCCCCCATGGCTGCTCACACGTGTGGCCTCAGAGGCTGGTTTTCTATAGGGGCAGGGCTGACATTTAAGCTGTATATACCAGCACTGCTGCACCAGCTAGAAAAGTACTGAAATATTTTTTGAACCAATGAGTAAATAGCCAGGAGCCTGCGAACCTCCTCCTCTACCTTCTACTCATCTACACCTGCTTCTCCCAGCGCCTTTCCACACTCCCTCTCCATGACCAGCAACTGACAAGTTAACGCCCAGCACACCTGGGCGCTGCTGATTGGCCTGGCTCATCCACCCTGATTGGCCAGTGGAAAAAACCTTGGGCCAAAGCCAATACAAATACTGTATCTTGACTATCTCCCCGGTTGCAGCTGTCTGCCTCCTTGGATTGGCTGAAGCACAAAAGAGAACTTTTAGAGGACACGGAGAGGCAGATGGAACAGGGAGGCAGCACATCAGTCCCCTGAGGGACTGGAACCAGGAACTCTAACTGAGACCATGTGAACATTGTCTTTGCTTTCCCCTGGGCCTGCGATAAAAACCAGATGCCTTAGGCTGGACATGTGAGTCTCTTGGTTTCTACCCACACCCCAGAAGCTCAGCAAACATGATTTCTTTTGTGTGTGGTGCCGAGGATCAAATCGTGCATGCTAGGTAAGCACTCTGAAACTGAGCTACACCCCCAGCCCCAAACGTGAATGCTTGCGTCCACTTCTCCCACCAGCTATGTCCAAGGGTGGAGGTCCCAAAGTGCAGGCATGGCTTTTGAGACCTGCCGTGTCGGAGAGGATAAGCACCCCAGAAGATGCTCTTTGAGGGTCTCAGGATCAGGAGCTGTTTAGGTGTGGAATGTGAGTGTTCCACGCTGTCCCGGGTGGCAGGAGGGTCAGGTGCTCAGAGTTTTGTTTGGGTGTTTGCGGAGGCAGGGAGATGGGTGGGGAGTTGGTACTGACACGTGTGAACTCCAGGGAAATTGAGGCTGGGAATGAGGTTGCAGGTGCCTCCAGCAGCCTGTGCATAATAAACCATAGAGAAGGAAAGGTCTCTGCAACTTGCCCAGCTGGCCCCTCTCCTGCTTGGCTTTGATCTGCCTTGCACAGCTCTCTGTAACTCATTTTCCTGAAACAACACGCACCTGACTCAGGGGCTCCAGTGGTTAACAGTGAGGACCATGACCCAGTAGCTGCTCCAGCAACTCATCGGCCTCTTGCTGTGTCAGTTACTGTGTGAAATCCTGCACTGCTGAAGGCTGGGAGCCCCAGGCCAGCAGTGTTACCTCTTAGCAACCTGGTTTCCTCATCCATACAATGGCGGTAGCAAGCAGTACCTCCTTCACTGGGGGGCTTATCAGGATCCAGTGAATCAATGCCTGAAAAATTCCTTAAAGTAGTTCCTGTCAAAATAAATTGCTCAGTACATGATAATCCTCAATCACTAGATATCTAAGGAGTACGCTCTGTACATCCAGCACCGCATGAGCTCTGGGAATCTAATGGTTAGCACCTTTGTCTCCCATGGCTTACAGCTCAGAGATGCAATTAAACACACAACGACAGCTGGGAGTTTACATGCTGCCATTCGTAAGATGTGGGGACAGGACATGTGTCTCTGTCTTGTGTCTCTCTGGGATTAGAGTGTAAGTTCCCTGAGAGGAGACATTCTGACTCTTTTGGTCACAGCTCTATTCGCCAGTGCCTGGGAAGGACCTGGCCCTCAGTGAACGTTTGCTGGTTGAGTGGATGCATGAAGTGAGACTTTAGTTGCACCTCGAAGATAGCGGCTAATGGACTGAAGTTGGGAAGTGAGGAGAGGAGGGGAGGGCTAGGGGGTGGCCCCGGCTGGGGGACCCTGGCGAAGTTACTCTCCAGCCTGAGTCCCTGTCGTCACCGCGTCGTTGCCGCAGTGGGAGTGAAAAGCCCCACTGCGTGGCAGGTGGTGAGGACTGGAGGGGATGCACGGAGCCCGGCATACACACGTCCCTTCCCAGCTGTTGGGCCACTTGATAGATCATGTTTGGTCATAAGTGCTTGAATCCCACAGGCATATTTACAAGGGATGCTTGAAAAATACAGTGAATGTTTAAATATAGTTTTTATTACAGTAAAAGACACGCTGCCGTCGAGTTCCCCCAGGATATGCCCACTGTCTTTGAGCACACACGTCTCTTGGTCCTTGCCGCTTTCGGAAGCATTCCTGGAGGTCCTCTTTCATGATCGTGTGCCAGGTTTGATAAAAAATATATATGGTGAATGCTGCTGCCAGGTGCCAACCAACAGAAAGGCAGACTTGTGAAAACACTGTGGTGTGTCCTCACTCACCTAGTCACCAGATCCGGCACTGGGCAACCTCTGACTCTTCCTCAAAGTCAAAACGATCACAAAAGGTAAATGTTTTGAATCGATTCGGGGCATGGAGGCAGCCACGACAGTGCTGTTGACGACACTTAGGGAAGAGGACTTCCAGAACTGCCTAAGGAAGGAGAAAGAAGGATGAGATCAGCGTGTTTGAAACGAGGGGGAGTGTATAGGGGGATTCATGGCAACGTGTCCTTTGTTGTAAGAAGTTGTTTTAAATTTAAACACGAAAATTGTCAATGAGACCTCGTACCTTAAATTCAGCACAGTTGGCATGTAGAGCATTCGGATCACTAAAATAAGTTCCCAAATGCTGCCCTGTTTTGCTTCACCCCTTTCCCTTTAAAACCACGGGTCTGTTTTCTGTCCCCATAATTTTGCCTTTTCAGGAACATCACACAAACGGAACCATACAGCATGGAGCCCTCTTGCTCGATGTCCTTTTCGTAGTGTAGCTTCTGAGCCTCACGCCTGTCCTGGCCTCTCCCAGAAACTCCTTCCTTCTTATTGCTGAGAAGGGTCCCCTTGGGCGGAAGTTTCATTTTTATGCCTTTTCTTGCGGAGGGATATTTGGGTTGTTTCCTTTTCTGGGCTACTGTGAGTAAAGTGGCCGGCGACTTTCATATGCAGGTTTTGGATAACACACTTCTTTTACTTCACTGGGGCCAGGTCACTGGCTTGTAGACGGCTGGGTGTGTGTGTGGGGGGGGG